TTCCTCCATGGCTTGACTCCAGTGCTTTGAGCCCCAACCCTCCAGCTGTATTACAGGAAGGTGGTAGGAAGTTGATGAACTCCATTTTTGGATTAGCTGGGTCCTTGCTGGGAACAAATGTGCTTTCCAAGGGCTGGTTGAAGGGACTATGTGTAGAGCATGGGCAGGTCCCTGTTTAGGGGACAGTGCAGCTCCCCAGGAATTTGCAACAGTGAGGGGTCATTACCACCCTGGGACTAACCCGGTGAGGGAGCTGTCACTAGCACCCAGCCAGTGCTGCCACCCTGGGGTCATAGGCACGTCTGACCCAGGGCCTGTGGGGAGAGGAGTGATAAATCCCTGAGCTCCTCTCTCCTCCTGCCCGCTCACTCCTGCCCTCTCTCACTGCCCTCTCTCCTCCTGCCCGCTCACATTCCTTCTCAGGCCTAAGGAGCCTAGTGACACAATCCATGGAGGTCAGCCCCTGTTTTTCCCCAGCTCTGCCCTGGGGCTTCAGGGTCCAGAGAAAGTCAGAGTAGATGGAGAGAGGGTGCCAAGAGAGAATAACAGTGAGAGAGAATGGTGCTGAAGTCCCATCCCCACCCCGCTCCTCTGGCCCCACTCCCCAGGACAATGACCTGACCCTTAGAGGCTGTGGCCAGTGGGCTGATGGGGAGCTGCCAAGACACACAGCAACCTCTCTCTCATTTCACAGACTGTCTTCTCACCTCCCAGAGCTTGCAAAATATTTTGCCTCCACCTCACCACCCCTCCTGGGTCCCCTGGAGGCTGGAGGGCAGGCAGATCCAGGAGGACCTCCTAGAGGAAGGGGTGCAGATGGGTTTCATGAGCTGCCTGATGAAAGAGGCTGAGGGGAGGGCTTGAGTGCAAGAAGAAGAGGAAAGGAGGGGAGTAAATACTTTTGAGCCCTATTTTGGGCCAGTCCAACATGTGCACTTTCTCATCTGTTATCCGCTCCCCTCCATCCCCAGTGCCCAAACTCATCAACACAATCTCAAGGTTCATATCAGGATTTCCATTTCCTGGGTGGGTAAACCAAGGCTCAGAGAGGTTACCTGCCTTCTCAAATGTTGCTCACAATTGCCTGAGTCCTGGGGAGAACAAATGGGATAAAAATTGAACTAAAAAGATGTGGAAAGGTTGGAGTGTGGGCTATTCTAAGTAGGGTCCTACCCCAGGGCCAGGGAGAGGGCAGGGGGTTCTTCTGTGGCTGTGGACAGTGGGTGTGGATGGATTTGCTTTCACACTCCAGGACAATGTGCTGGGGGTCGGGTAGGTGAGCAGGTCACAGTGGGAGTGTTCAGCTCCGGTTGCTCTTTCTGCCATCAGGCCTTGTCCTGATATGGGGTCCCTCATGGGATGAAAGAGGTTTTGTGTTTGGGATGGGGTAGGGGCTGGAAATCTTGGGCAAAGACCTCAGGAATGGGCCTAGAAGGCCTTGGGGGGTGATGGCAGCTGTCTCCTTGGTCGCAAGGGACAATGTTAGCTGGATATAGGTTTTGGCTAGCAAAGGGCAAAGGAGGGGCAGGAGACACAGGGTCCAGCCCTGTCTGCTGGGGGAGGGAAAAGGGGAGGGAGTGTCAGTGTGGCTGGAGCCCAGGGACCAGCAGTCTATGTGGGTGGGTGCTGGACAGTGGAGTGGGAGGCTCAGAGACCTACAGTGTAGGTGGGGCCCAGCACTGTGTGTGGTTTGGGGAAGGCAGAGGAAGGAGCGGTCAGTGGGGCCCATTTCAGGGTAGCACTCTCCAGGGCTGGAGCCAGGGGTGGGGGCCGGGTGAGATAAGGGCTGAGAGGAATTGGGGATGGGGGGGTTTTGACACAGCTGTTGTCTCCCACTGATCAGTCCTCTGTCTTCCGCTAAGTCAAGTTCTTTTCTAGTCTGGCTGCTAAAATGAGTAGATGCCCCTCCCTCCAGCATTACAGAGGCTGTGAGGGCCCAGCTGAGGGCCCGGGGAATTTTATGCAGATTTCCTCTCTTGGTCCTGTGAGTGAGAGTGAGTATGAGTTTGTGTGAGAGAGGGAAAGACAGAGAGAGAGAAAGAGAACCTCCTTGGATCCCAGCACTTAAGACAGACCCAGGAGGACTGAGTTGGGTGGGGCTGGGAACTGCATGCTCTGAAATGTGGTTAATTAGAACAACTCAGTCCAAAACTGAGGTCCTAGAAATATTAGCAAGATTCAGGCTCCCTGAAGCCAGCCTCCCCTTTTATAGGTGAGGAAACTGAAGCACTGGCAGAGATCACACGGGGTGGGTGGGGGAGGGGTTGCCTTTGTTCTTAACATTCATTGCAGATCTCATTTTCCCCATCATAAAACCATTATTAAAAATAATAGTTCTTGGGCAGTACCTGTGGCTCAGTGAGTAGGGCACTGGCCCCATATACCGAAGGCGGTGGGTTCAGACCCAGCCCTAGCCAAACTGCAACAAAAAAATAGCCAGGTGTTGTGGCGGATGCCTGTAGTCCCAGCTACTCGGGAGGCTGAGGCAAGGGAATTGCCTAAGCCCAGGAGTTGGAGCCCAAAATGATGCCACAGCACTCTACCGTGGGCGATAAAGTGAGACTCTGTCTCTAAAAAAGAAAAGAAAAGAAAAGAAAAGAATAGTTCTTTTCTTATGGAATTGATGAGAGAAGTAAGTGACTTAGTATAAGTGAAGAGCTCAGAACAGGGCCTGGCACATAATAAGCATCCGGTAAGTGTTAAGAAATAACACTAATCAATAAGAATGAAGACAGTGGTAGGAGACACTGCTGGGAGAGAGGGAACCACCCAGTGATGCCGAGTCTGGTCTTGCTTCAACCATGCTGAAGCCACAGCAAGGCAGCCATTGGGAGGGCAGGCAGAGGTGACCACTGGTGTCCGAGGTCTGCCTGCCCCTAGCATTGTGGCAGCAGCCGCGGTCAGTCCGCAGGCCCTCCATTTGCTCACTTGGCATGCTCTTCTTGGTCTTTGCCTTGAGGTTCCCCTGTGAGTCATGTGTGTTCCGTCCCCTCATCCCGGCAGCAGTGTGATAGTGTCAGCCTGGGAGCCCCCCAAGGGCAGGGCTCAGTCCTGCGTCACCACTTGCTCAGCCCAGCCTGCTGGCCAGCCCTGAGAGGGGGTCAGCGGGGTGCGGCCTGCCACGTACCCGCCAGCCCGCGGAGCATCTGCCTTCCTCTCATCCCTGTCCACGGGGCCAGCTGTGGAGCACTGACAGCTGGAATGTACTCGCTGCCCCTTTGGGCTGCTACACGCCATTCTCAGCTCTTTTCATACAGTCACTCACTTTGTCCTGGGAGATCACAGCTGCTCTTATCTGCATTTTTCAGAGGAGAAAACTGATGCAACATTTGTCCAGGGTCATAGATCTCATATGCAGTGGAACCAGGATTTCAACATGTCAGGCTGGTTCCAAACTCAGCACCCTCCAGGGCCACACACCGAGAAGCCCCTTTCTCTCCTCAAGGCCTTCGGTGGCCGGGATGAAGTTGTGGGAAGTCCTGAATGGTTGGGTTCCTGACCCACAGACTGGGATCTTTCTCCGCCTGCATCTGTCTATCATCCTCAGTCTTACTGTCCCTCACTGTTTCTCTAAGCCTCATGCTAGTCTGTGATTTCTGAACTGAAATCTGACCATCTGTTTTTCTGCCTTTACCAGATCCAGACCTCTCCAGGTGGATCCCAGCATGGCTTCTCAGGACCTCACCCCCACTCACAGTCCCACCCATGGTCTGGATTTGGACTTCAGAGTTCCAGGAACTCTCCTCATTGGCTGTGTAGCAGACCCCTGTGAGGAGCTGGCCAATCAGAAACTTTCCTCTGGGCTCCCTCCCAGCACTCCAGGTTGGGTCCCTCTGGGTCAAGCACTCCAGGTTGGGTCCCAGCAAGGATAGGGGTGGGCATGGAGAGGTGAAGGGCTTGATGGGGGAGAGACAGACTCTGAGTCAAGAGGGCCAGGCATGAGAAAAAAGGGGCCGAAGCAAGAGAAGAGTAAGGACCGCAGTGGCCATCCCAGCATGCTGGCCTGTCCCTTGCTCCCAGTTTTGCATTACTAGTCCTCTTTCTGCAGTGTATAAAATACAGAGGATGACACTTCCAGGCCTCTAGCAATCCCTCCTCACTTCCATCTTCCTCTGCCCAGCCTGTGGGCCTTAGGATGAGAGAACGGACCTTGTTGTTTTCTCTTTGGGGTTGCTCCTGGTTTGGGCCTTCATCTGCTTAGGCTGATGGTACAAGCAGGATAGTGTAACAGCCCTCACGTCTTCATTGGTCAAAAGGCTACCACTGACCCAGTTCCAAGAGGGCTCTGAAGCTGAGGGGTTTGTCCACAGGAAAGGGCAACATGGAGCTCTCTGCATCCCTGGGATTAAACTCACAGGGTGGGTGGAGGGAACAGAGTCATGGGTGGCCACCGAGGGCAAGAACCTGGCTGGCCCAGGTGACCCTCAGGTGCTGGCTGGTCTAGCCAGGGGCTCCTGGCTGGGCTTTGCACCTGAGCGTGTAGATGTGTGTGGTGGGGGCCGCTATGTTCTGTGCTGCCTTAGCAGCAACCCTGAGTGAGAGACACTCTGCAAACAGAAGTGGCCACCTCAAACCCTATCTGGCTTGGCAAACTGTGGCTGAAGCTTTCAGACACAGGTGGGTGGGGTGAGGCAGGAGGAGCCCACTGGCCTGCCCCAGGTTTCTCTGCAGTGTGAATGAGTGATAGAAGAAGGATTCAACAGCTGAACTGGGACCAGCCACCTGCTGGCTGTCTCAGTCCTGAGGATTATGAGTGAAACTTTAGTGAGTTTACCTGGAAGATCTCTGAAAGGGATAGGGGCCAGCAGTCCAGCCCACCACCCATCCTTGCCATCAGTGGGGACAAACCCACTTAGGGAGGGGGTGGTTTTCCTCTGATAGGCTCCAGTCTTGGATGTCATCTTCATCTCTGGGTGTGTATGTCAATTAGAATTAGGTTTGGTTACAAGTGACAGAAAAACCCAAATAATAGTGACTTAAATAGAATGTTTATTTCTCTCTTACATAAATGAAATCTGGTGGTATTCAGTCAGGTTTATTATGATGGCTCTGCAGTCACCAGGGATCTACACTCTTTCAATCTTACTACACTACCAATCTCAAACATGGCCTCTACCTCATGGTGCAATATGGCTGCCAGAGCGCCAGTCACTGCATCGGCATTGCAGGCAGCTAGAGTAAAGAAGAGGAGAAGAAGGGAATGTCTTGTCCCCACCTGAAAGTCACATCCCATGTCACATAAGATACTTCTCTTATTGGAAGTATTATAAGGATATTTCTTGTTGGGTGGAATTTAATCACATAGCTGTATCTAGCCTCAAGGGAGGATGGAAAATATGGTCTTTTGTCCACGTGGTCATAGCCAAGCTTAAAATGAGAGGTCTTGTTACTGAGGAAGATGATCAAGCAAGTACTGGAAGATAACTAGCTGTCCTTGACATAGCGTGCAACCTGAGTAGAGGGTCCCAGATGCTGTATGATACCCATGGACCCCTCTGGATAGCAACCTTGCTGTGGGGAGTGGGAGTCTGGCTCCCTATTTGGCCTATGCCTCCAGCACTGGGACTTGAAGTCTTCTTTAAAGCTGCATTCATAGCAGGAACATGCCCCTCCTGGGGTCTCCAGCAGGGAGAGGATCAGTTTGATGATCAAGGCCAGCCACGCCATCCCAAAGAGGATCCACAGGGACACCATGTTCTTGTACCATAGTGGGTACCTCCGAGAGGGGTTCATCCCTGCAGAAGAGGTGAAGTCAGAGGATGGAGGCCTGGGCAAGTCAGGAGCGCATTCCCCATCAGGAGTGGGGATCCATGGCCTGGTTCACACAAGCAGGTTGAGGGATCAGTGGGACAGCACATGGGAAACAAAGACTGTCTGATTCCTGGTCTTATGGTCATCTCCCTAGGATGCCAGGATGCCTCCCTGGACCGGGACTTAGACTTGGAAGCTAAATTTCTTCTTTGTCTTTCTGAGGGATTCTGTTTATGCTTTATCCCTGTGGTTCTCAGAGTATAGCCCCTGGACCAACAGCATCACACCATTTGCATTGTTAGAAACACAAATGTTGGGGCTCCCACTCCAGGCCTATTGACTCAGAAACTCTGGGGGTGGCTCCAGCAATCTGTGTTTTAACAAGACTCTAGGAGATGCGATGCCTGCTCTGTTGTTTACCTGTCTCTGGCTTTGGTTTCCTCATACGTGAAAGGAGGCAGTTTGCTGGAGCCAGGAATGTAGGAAGAGCAGGTGTGACCGCTGAAAGATGTCCTGCCTCCATTTAGTAGCACGTGGTTACCATCTGTCTGAACACACCTCTCCTGTGAAACTCCCCCAGGGGAATATACTTGCTCCCCCGTGACCTTTAGGATGCAGTCCCGAATCCTTGTCTCTGCAGCACACCTCTCCCTTCTCACGGCCACATCACTTTCCCCCAATTGCACATCTATCATCCTTCCTGCCTCAGGACCTTCGTGCTAGCTGTCTCCTCAGCTCCGAATTTCCAGTTCCCTTTGGCCTGGTTATCATCCCTTATCCTTTAGATCTCAGCTCAGATGTCTCTCCTTAGAAACTAGACTGGGCTTCCCCGACGCTTGCCCCACAGCCCGTGTGCTTTGTCTGGGTGAGTTACTTCCTCATCTGTAAGATGGAGACAGTAAGAGTCCTTCTCCTGCCACTGTGGGGGGAGCACACAGGCCCATGCAGCTAATGCACTCAGAATGGTGCCCGGCAAGTAACAGATGCCCAAGACCTTGGAGTTGGTTAATTGCTTTACAGCCCATCAAATACCCCCATGCAGTCAATTCTGGAGAATAACGGCTGGGGCAAGGGGCTGACAGGGTTGCTCACAGTGAATCTCAGATAACTCTTGTCATGGGCACGCCCTGTAATTTAGTTCCCTGCCTCCCTCATCAGACTGGGATCATTCAAAGGGTGGAGATTCGCCCTCCTATTTCCTCCACCTCCTGTCCTGTCTATACCCACCTGTCTACTGCTCATCCTGTCCTGCCACCCCCTAGCTTTCTATCCAGGTCCCACAAGACAGGGCCCTCCTCTTGGAGCCTTGCTGGGGATGAGGCCACAGCCTTAGAGCCGACCTCTGCTGTGGGGCAGGATCTGGGATTGGATTAGGCTGATTGGGTTATGGGGCCGTGATTCCGCTGACGGTCCCAAATGAGATCAGTGGTGAGCCAGCTCTCTGGCCCTGCCACCCGCCGGCTTGGCTTGCTCCTGGTAACAGAAGGGAGGAGGTGTATTCTTTGCCCCTTTTATTTCATTTCTTTAGCTGAAATTATAAGGGGCAGAAAGCCTGGCAGCTGGCAAGGCGCTAGACTGAGCCACAAATGCAATTGGGAGAATTGAAGGCTACAGGCCTGAGAGAGGCAGGCAGCTGAGACCTGGGGCTGCTCTGGCCAGAGCCTTTGGGCAGAGGAGTGGCTGTGAAGACAGTGCCCTTGTGCCTGTCTGCATCCAGTGGCCAGGTGGTGGGCCTCAGCACTCCCATCAAGGAAAGGAGTTGACCCTGCTGCTGGAGGACAAGGAAAGCTGAGGGATTTGAGGAATAGATGTGGAAGATTCTGGAATACGGGTGGGGTGAGGAGCCTTGGCTTGGATGTTTACCCTAGCCTTGCCTCCGCTTGCCTGCTCATGACCTTATTCAACTGCCTTCCCTTCCCTGGGCTTCACTTTCCCCATCTACAGAAGGAAGACCTCCCCCCCAGATGCAGCAGTGGGGCCTAAGTGTAGTCACTTGCCATGAGGCACCAAAATGGCTGCACAGGGACCCAGAGTGGGTAGCAAATCTCTGGAGATGTGAAGGGGGACGCTGGGTGGGAGTGGTTGTGCATGGGCAGCCCTTCTGGGCATGAGGGGCTCTTGTAGTGGACCAGGTCTCCCTAGTCAGGTTGTACTCAGGGGGCTCTGGAGGCCTGGTCCTGCTCTGATGCTCCTAGCTGGGGGGCTCACAGGATGGCAAGGACCCTGCAAGGACTCTTTGCAGACTGGCTGTGTGATATCACCACCTCTTCATTGATGTTAGCTGAGGTCTTTCCTCCTATTTCCCATTTCAGGTGCCCCTGTGTAGAGAGGCTGCCTCCTGCTCCCTCTGCCCTGCCCTGCTCTGTCACAGAGGATGCCAGGCCTCAGGTCATCCTCATAGACATTCACACCAACCCCACGTCGGCTTCCCCAGTCTGGCTTCCAGGGGAGATTGGTGCAGGACCCATCAGACCGCACAGCCCTGGGCTGAAGCTGCTGCAGCCGGCCAGAACAGTCCTTTTGGTATTTGTGGTGGCTGGAATGCAGTGTGGAAGGGAGAGAACTCAGAATGGAGAGGGAGGCAGGGCCCTTAGGGGCCTAGTTATGGATTTGGACTCCATCCTAAAACTATGGGAAAACAATGATGGTTTTCAGAGGAGCTAGGCAGGTGACACAATAGCACTTATAATTTTTAAAGGGCATGAGAACCAAGGGAGGGGACAAGGATAGAGGACTGCACAACTCCCTGGGTGCCGTCCTCATTATGCTCTGTGTGAATGACAAACCGATAGGGCTATGTAGTGCCCAACCTATGCAACTAGATGCAACAGCCTTTCCTGGGAAGGAAAGGACAGGGAGATGACAGTAAGAAGAGAGGCGAGAGGACAGTTCCAAGAATGGTTCCCTGAGCTGTGAGGGGCAGGTGTGGCCCTGGGAGCTGCAGCGTGGGCTCAGCTCTTCTCAGACACATCTGTCCACTCTGAGGGTAAAGGTAGGAACATGACCCAGGTAGAAGGACTTCCTTCTAGAACAATAGCCCTCCTGTCAAGATTGAGGAGATCAGGAAGGGGGCAGCAGACCTCCCAGCACCAGATACTTCTTCCTGGGGAAGGAGAGGTTCAGGAAGGGTTCCTTGCACATAGGGGCCAGAAGGCACTGAAGGAGTCTTAGCAACTGCATTTTACAGACAGGGACACTGAGACCCAGAAAAGGGACATGTCAGGCAGTCTGGAAAGGGTATGGATTTTGGAGTCAAATAGATCAGAATTCATATCTCATAAGCTGTGCAGTCTTAGGCAGATGGCTTGACATCTCTGAGCTCTGTCTTCCTCTGCAGTGAAGTAGAGGTGACAACCATCACTCTAGGTTCCCTGATGAGTTAGCTGACTGCTACTTTGGTGAAACTTCCTTTTAACATCCTGAGCTGGGTTCTGTTGTTGAAACAGTGTGGAAGAGCAAGTCCTCCTACCTACCCCACTTTAGGGCCATGGGATCAGACGGAGGTTCAAAGCTCCTTGAGGCCAGTGTGCTGCAGTGCCAGGCTCTTACAGTAACACTTCATAGGCAGAGAGAAGAGAGGGAGCATGAAGCTGAGCGGGGGGTGGGGGCTCAGCCACCCTGTCACTGCGCTGAATGTCCCT